TGAGGGGCAGGGGGAATGCCCCCGCCTCTCCTCAGGACCGCCGTGCTGGGGGAAATACGGTAATTTGGAAATACGGTAATTGGGGGGGAATACGGTAATTGGGAAGGGAGGGGCTGGGAACTTTTTCACAGGCACTAAGTTGGCTGAGGTCCCCGAGGCAGAGTGGCGTTTCTGCCCTGTTTCGGTAGTGGTTTTGAGGATTTCTTAACTTCCTCCACGGGTCGGTCCTAGATGTGACTTTTTGTGAAGCGATTTCCGTGGAGGGGTGACTGCTGGGAAAGATCGGCATTGCATACCAACAAGTGAGTCCGCCACGGGGCACGACCGTCACAGAAGAGCCTGGGCAAGCTGAGCAGACGGAGACCTGGATACGGCCGCGTCTTGGGCATCCCTGTGTGCGAACGTGGTGTCCAGCAGACATCGTTCTTCCAACTCTTTAGTTGGTTTAATAAAAGATATCACCTTTACCTAGAGAACCTTGTCTGCCAATGTCCTTGGACCGCCCCGGCTACGGCCAACAAACATCGCAGCACTTCACCGAAAGCTGTACAGCTGCTCCTTGCTTAACGTCAAGTTGGAAAATGCACCTTGAAGCAAAGCAACGTTAAGCGAATCCAGTTATGTCACAGTAATTAACCTACAAGCAGCCGGTGGCTAAACAACGTTATCACCAAACATTGCGCAACTTTTAACGAGTCTGTTGTCTAATAGATCAGAGACGTAATAACGAAACAGCGGTCTCTGGGAGGGTGTAAAGATTACAGGTACTCCTCACTTAACAAGTGCCCAGGCAGGAGAGATGGAACCTGCATGTGGAGCGATAATACTATACAGTGGCTTATAGATTTGGAAGCTGATATCTGGCAGCACATGAAAAAAAAGCGTCTATTTGGGCAGGAAAGCACAAAAAGATTCACTCATCTAGTGTATTTTTAAAGTGACTAAACGCAAGTCTCCTCTCAGTATTGGGGGTCGCGGCTGCGTCACGGGACAGAGAGTCAGAAGTCGCACCCTCTGACCTGCTTTGTCACTGAATTATTGAGTAACCTACAGTAAAGAACTTTGTCTGATTTTCCTGTTCTGTTAAATACTAAACCGCCTTGGTAGATGAAGCTTGCAACATACTTCTGCTTGTAAAGTGCTTTGGAAGCCTTGAATTTCAAGTGCCATAAAGTTGTAGGCTGCTGTAGCTAGGATCTTATGTTGGGCAATTTTAAAGAAACTGCTCTTCTTTAAATCCAGTCCACTCCAAAAAAAATTAAATAGTGGGGGAAGGGGTGGTAAAGGGAGATGGAAGAACTTACTTGGGAACTTGTTGTCAATTTAAATAGTTTGTAATTATTTTTTTGACATAAGAGAGTACAAGATTGTATTAAGTACTTTAGGAATTCTGGGAATATTAATGGCAGACAAGGTGCTTTGAGTAAATGCGATATCTTTTTATTAGACCAACTGGGCAGTTGGCAAATGGTTCTTTGCAAGCTTTTGGATGCAAGCGCTCTCCTTCAGGCATAGGGAGAGCCTGCTGGTGTTTGTGTGCTGTCTAGGGTTGAATAGAAGCTTAAGCCAATATGCAAAATGCAGGTCAGTGAAAATGCAAATGCATGGCAGTGAAGATCAGAGGAGCTAGGAGTTTAATGGGTGTGAGACAGATAGGTGAGGGGGGGTGGGACACGAGGGGAATGTTGTTGGGTTTTTGGTTGTAGCTGTCTTGGTGTAAGGACACAGGCAGGTGAGGTTCTTTGGGTAGATGTGGTATCTTTTATTAGACCAACTGAGTAGTTGGAAAAAAGTTCTTAGCAAACTTTTGGGAACAGTCACCCTTCATCAGGCATAGGGAGTCTCTGGCCAGCTGATAAAAATGAGAGGTTACCTGAGGTTATGAGATGGCAGGCATGTTATCATGTGCCATAACTTTTTGTATCCAGTAGATATATGAAGTGAAGTTCATAGGCTCATCTGCAAAAGGTGTTTTGTAAATTCCCTTCTGAGGATTAGAATTGAGAGATTGGAGACAGAGGGAGGTTGTCTTGTGAGAAGTGTGCACCCACAGGTAATTGGGTATTTTTGTCTTTGATAGATTTGCAGTGCAGGTATCCATGCAATAAATGTTTGCCTAAAGGGGTCTATTGGAGCACTTTGTTGAAGTGTGCTCTCTCTCCTTTTCCCCCCCCCCTCCCCCATCACTCAAATCTTGCTAAATCCATGTATAAGGTTATGTGTCTTTAGGGAGCACCCACTAAAACACATTCTGAGTCTTGCTTTGGGATTCATCTTTAAAACTTTGTGAGCTATATAAAACTACTACTAGCAAAACTCCTTCTATTTGCTTGTACAATGACACGTGTTTAAATTATTACAGGGTACAAGAAAAGTGCCCTGCAAAGATTAATGCTCTTTAACATAGCACATAACAAATTAAATATAATTGGTTCTCACATTTTATATGACAAAGAAAATGATTCCATACGAGGCTTATTTTTAGCTGGTATGGATAAATATGGATTAGTGCATTATTTTTGTATTGGCCTCCTTAAGATGGTTACAAAATCTTCCATGTGAGCCCATGCCTAGCAATCTAAAGGGAGTGGGGGAGAAACAAGAATGGAAAATCTTTCAGGTTTACTCTTTCAGGTATACTTTCACTCGGGCTTGCTTTTGCTATCTGAAATAGTGAGCCTATGTTTCTCTTTTTGATCAAAAATGAATAAAGTACTTGGCAAAAAAAGGAAGCATTTTCTCTCATTTTAAATGCATCATCCCCCCTTGTCACAATATGATTATGATTCTTCCCTCTGCAAAAAATGCAAAATTTATCATTCTTCTAGCTTGGAAAAAATGTTTTTTTATAATGTTCTTAGAAATGGTGGTGTGGTTGCACTCTTGTGGTGCCTTTAACTACTGTGGCACAAATCAACGGATTCCTGTTATCATGCCAATAGTAGCACCATGCCCCAGTGCGTAGAGAAACGTGTACGGGAGCCCATCATTCACTTGTGCAGCTCTTCAGTTATGTACCATTGGAGGCCATAGTAAAAGGATTCCTTATTGAGCTAGTTGACCTTTGGCTTGTGCCCTAAACCTTAGATTTGATAAGCCTCTCTTGTCCTAGCTCAGTGGGTTGGCAACCTTGCTGGTAGCTGTGCCACATATTAACCCTGCATCGTTCGCAAGTGGCACTCTCATCCCCTTTCCCTGCCCAGTCTGCTGCTCCCTGGTCTGTATGCCCTTTCTGATCTCCTGCTCACAGACTTCAGCTCCTTTGAAAATGTCCTCCTTAATCTCCAGCTTCACAATAACTGTAAAATAATTTAAAAATAAAACTATTAGTAGCTTCCTACAAGCACACGAGCTGCTCAAAACCTCAACGTGTGCTTTTATGCTTCAAATATTTAAAACCAGAGCTGTTGGTTAAAAGGGTTTCTTCTCTACTAACCGATAAATTGAATTCAGGCTTAATGTCCCGTAGAGCATCAAGACTAGCAGGCCCAGGGACTATGTTTCTAATACTGAGGACTATTCTAGTTCTTGGTGTCAGATAGGTGCATAATCCCTTTGAAAGTTGTTAGTTGGGTGTTTTTATCTTGTGGGGCCTGTTTGAAAATCCCGGCTTTCGCCACAATAATGACAGATGTTTAATGACTTTTGAATCCAAGATTCTCGCTTCCAAAGAGGCATTAATAGTTGACATTTTATAGGACTTGTGAGGACAGGAAAATATTTTATAAATATGAATTTGTTTAAATCCAAGCCACCTAAAATCATAAAACAAACACATTATTTTCATTTATTACCGTGTGGTCTATAAATGACCCTGTAGAAATGCTGCTCATAAAAAATTGAAGGTCAGATGTAAGCTGTGGCTTATGTGGTTCTTGAAGCACTCTAGTCTGTAAACAGCAGTAATTTATTATGCCAATAGAGTGAGGCTTCAGCTGCATGCTTTTTCACTAACATTAATTCGGTTGGATTATTAGCTATACTTCAAGTACTCGGTAATTGGATCTCATACACTAAAACACAAGCACTCGTATACAAACATTGTAACTTATACACTCACATGATAACTGAAATCTTAACACTGGCAGTGAATTTCACTAGAAAGTAACACATTTTGATTTTGGTTTGATCCCTCTCTTTAATGCAGCAGTATGTTCTAGACCTGTATGTAACCAATGTATTGTATAGTCTAGTGTTTCTCAACCAGGGTGCTGTGGCATCAGGGGGTGCCTTGAGATCCTTTCAAGGGTACCACACAGCTTTAGCACCATTAGGTGTGCAAACATGATTCACATGATGATTAACTCAGAGATTTCAAATAGGAACCCATAATGTTAAACGCGTTCTGAGCTCTTATGGGTTTTCTGAGTTTTTTGCAACAGAAGAATTGCTCTGTTATTTTTCTGTGGTCAAAAAATAAGTGAAAACTAAGCTGGCAACTAAACTGTTTGTATACGAGTAAACTAAGCTGTTTGTATATGAGTGCTTCTCTGGGATGCCTTGAGTCAAAAAAAGGTTCAGTATAGACTGTAGTCTTAATCACTGTTGGTAAAACTCTCGAGGCAAGAAACTTCAATGGGTTCGTTTCCGGACTGTTAAAACCTGATTAACTTTAATTGGAGTCTCTGCAAGGGCTGAATTTTTATAGAATCGGAGAGAGGTAGGGCTGGAAGGGACCTCCATAGGTCATCTAGTACCATGCCCTACCTGAGACGGGGCAAAATGGTTTGGATAGGGATGATCTTTTAAAAAAATAAATAAAACTTGAGAAGTTGCTGGCGACCTTGAGTTCAAAGTTAGCTTTTGTGGCAGGGGTGGGCAAAATATGGCCTGGTGGCTGAATCTGGCCTGGCAAGGCATTTTGTCTGGCCTTCAGCAGGTCCATTGACCCTACCCAGCCCTGGCATGGGGGGGCAGCCTGGGCTATAGCTCTTGTAGGGCTGGTGTGGCGTGGTGGCTGGACTGGGTTTCCTGGCAGCCCCAGCAGTGGCTCCTTCTGGCTGCTGCTGCCGAACCAGCCCCACTGCCCAGGCACTCCAGCCTGTTTGCCCCGCACCCACGGCTAGGCGTGGGATCTGCACGGGTAGGCCGTGCAGGCAGGAGGATGGGATGGGGCCACAGGTGGGCAGGGAGCTGCATCCGGAAGCAGCTAGGGCCAGGATTACAGGGTGGTGATGGCACGGGGCCAGGGCTGTGGCCTGGGTGAGAGCCACGATCCGCTCCCTGCACGTCCCTGTGATGGCTGCTGGTTCCATGGGCAGGGACATGTGGGGAGCAGACTGCATCTCTGCCCCAGGCCCCAGCTCCGTTCTGTCACCAGTCTGCAATCCCAATCCCTGGTCATGCCACCCCATGCTGTGACGGGGAAAAGGGTACTGACCTGGCCTGCAACAGCTCACTAAAACTTCCTAAGTGGCCCTCTGGCCAAAATAATTTCCCACCTGTTTTACAGTCTGTATTGAATACAGTAGTATTTGTAGAATGAGTAATTATTTGAGACTTTGACTCTATTGCTCCCAAATAAGTAAACTTAAACTGGAGGCACTTAGCAATCTTCAGGATGTCCTAAATTAGATTATAATGAGAAATACTGAAAAATAATAGAAGCCAAAAGGCTTCCTGAGCCAAATCTTGTGAAGTGCTTTTATAAGCTGTGCAAGATAAAGACTTTTTATTTTTTGCTTTCAATACGTAAAGTACTGTGCACACAATTGGAACTGTTACCTTTTTCATAAGGTAGGCATGGATAGCCACAGAGACTGTTTAAAAAGGGCTTGATATATTCACAGGATAAGCTAGAATTCACGTGTGTTCTGTGTAAGGTCTGTGTTTTGACTGTCGGACTAGCGCAGAATTGACGCTTCTAACATTAAGTGTCATGGGCATAGAAATATTCTTAGCATTTTTTGGCTTCTGTTACTCTTTGGTAAACCGAGCAGAAAGAGGTTTCGGTAACCAGGCCTTTTCTGGGAATGAACAACAAGAACTGCTAGGAAGACAGCCTCTTAAAACCCTGTGACTTTTTCGAATGTTTCTACTTATAAAAGTTCCTTCATTTCTGGTGTATTCTCTTCTGTTTTAGATATTATTCGAACTATTCGGGACCCAGAGAAGCCCAACACTTTAGAAGAACTGGAAGTGGTAACAGAAAGCTGTGTTGAAGTACATGAGATAAATGAAGATGAATATCTGGTTATAATCAGGTTTACTCCAACAGTACCTCATTGCTCTTTGGCTACTCTCATTGGTAAGATTTGTATTTTATTCAGGCCCCCTTTATTGTTTTTTGTTAACTCTGTAGCCTTTGTTTTTACTAAAGGTTTGTCACCTATTTGACTTGGAATTGTATATTGGAAACTGTTAACAAAGCTGAGAAATACTATAATATTTTTAATTTAGTCTCTTGATAAACCAAATAAAACTTCTAGTTCCTGTTTAGGGGGATTATTCTCCAAAGTTCATTATTTTTGGGTATGGCTATTGCAAGAAACACTGATACAAAGAAGAGAGGCCTGAGGCTGCATGTGCATGATTTCATGACTACTGCCTGTTAGGCCCAAGCCGCATTATAGTTTGGATAATTTTTGGCTTGACAGCAGTCTTTTAAAAATAACCCTTCCTAATATGGATCTTGCAATGTTTTACAATTCAGTATAAGCGTTCATTTTTAAGTAGTGTATTGCAAACAAACAAGTAGCAATAATTCAGTATCAATCAGTCGTTTGACCCCAGTACTCTTTCCTGCCCAGGGCAGGGGTTGGACTTGATGATCTGCTCAGGTCCCTTCCGACCCTACAGCTATAAAACTGTGAATCCACAGGAATGTTTCCAGATGCACTGCAGGATGGCTTGGTGCAGAAGTAAACCAAGTAACAGCCTAACCTTGCTTTAGGTGGTCTAAGTATTTACCAACCATGGTAGAGACATTTTACAACTACAATGGCCAGATTATTTTGAAAATAAATGAGACCGAAGCAGTAATGTTGAAGTACGCATAGATGATAAATGATAAGGCTCAGTAATACAATACCATGATAGTGTGTAGTGACCACAGACTATCATAAGGTGCATTGTATTTCCTTCAGACAGTAACCATCAGGGACTTAAAAAAAAATAAAGCAGAAAATAAAAAAAAAACTTGTGAGGTGAGTTTCTGAAGTTATTACACTCTCAAAACTCCCATTAAAGACCAAAAAAAAAAAGTTAGCTCTTTAATGGCTTCCTTATCTAGATATGTCATATATTTCAAATATATATATTTTAGTTTTTACGATCTGGGAGTCACCTGGCTGATATTCTTCTGAAGAAAGGTAGTTGATAGGAGTCCATGTTTAGGTGGGATACTTGAAAATCATACATGATTCCTTCATTTTGCCACTGGTAAAGAAGTTTAGAGAAAAATAGTCTCTTGGATCTCCAGAATTATGTGAGAGGCCTTTGATTTCATTTTTAAGAGATCTTGTGCTAGAATAAAGCTCTGTTTTGCTTATTTTCTTTAATTTCACGTTGAGGGGGTGGAGGATTGGCTATACCTGTAACATAACTAGGCTTCAGTTCTGTAAAGACATTATATTCGAATGCATTAGGTCTGGCTCATTTTACAGCCAGAAAGATTCCCAATTGACATATTTTAAATACTTTCCTTAAAAGAAAATCAGTGTTTGAATTTGAATGAGAGAAATCGGGTTGTAAGTGCTGGGATAATGGAAAAGCAAAGGTACACATAAAGCATTGACTTACCAGCTACTAAATAATTTACTTACAAAAAACGTGATGCCCAGGAGTGTCGGGTACCTCGACATCAGCAGGTCTGCTCGCATTTGCAACATGTTTAGGACTTTTGCTGTTACAGAAAAGTGAAATAGTTGGCTGACCAAAAGTGGATGTGATTTCTGGGGTTTGATTTCTGTTGTGTTGCACAGTTTAAGTCACAGTTCCTCATTCTGTCAAAGGAAAGGGCTACAGTAACCACCTAAACCCGTGTAGCATGTGGAAATAGGCTGTAAACTTCCTGTCACCTGCACAGCTACTTGATTTCAAGTTGCTAATTTTTCTTCTGTTTCTTACTAGGCTTCTCTCAACTTGGCAGTACCCTTAACGATGATTGGTGTAGTTGCTGATGTTAAATCCTCTTTGATATAGTGGAAAGGGGATTAACTAATAGCATGGTGTCCATAGAGGACTTTGAATCGCCACCTCTTCTCTGTCTGAAGTAGACAGGATTTTTATTGACCTACAGGGCATTTTGCAGGGCCTGTATATTTTAACTGACCATTGGGGCAGAGCAATATGCTTAGGTGTTGGCATTACATGCTGCTGTTTGGTAAAGAGGGGAGTTGTTTGTTCAGTTTGTTTTGATAGATTTTATTTTAACTAACTAGCAGGATTTGCAGAGCCTACATACGAGTGATTTTTAATTTATTCAAAATTTAAGAAAGGCGTTTTTTAAAAGTCTAGGAAGATAGCAAACATCAGGCAGAAAGGAACAGGTAGATGAGAAAGATGGAATATCTTTTTTTCTGTAACTGTTAAGGCAGAAAGTAGGGCAGGGTAGCACTGTAGGGACTTACTGGTTCAGAGGAACATGAGCTTCACAGGCAATGACTTACCTTTTGCATGACTTCAGACTAACATGGCTAATAACTTCTGGGATTATTAAAAGATCAGTCTTATGGGGAATCACCAGGTGACTGTAAAGTTCGCCAGATATCCATAAGAGTCTTCTCTTCTAAGGAACTCCTGGATGATGATCTGACCTGTGCAATGAATTAAAAGAACCCCTTCATCTTCCTGTGCTGGTTTTGATGCTTAAGGAGTTGAACACTTCACAATTTTATACAGTTTTTTCTAGGTAATTGCATGCAATCTAGTAACTTACCACTACAAGAATTCAGCTGGTGCAGTAATACATTTAAAAATGCTGCATTTAAATGCTTATAGGTAACGTGCAGTGTTTTTTCACTGTTCCATCAGTAGTTTGTTTAATGTATTAAGCCAGATTTAAATTGTAAACTTGCCACACCAGATTCTTCTGTGCCTTGTATAGTATTGTACACATGACCAGCATTTAACAAACGTAATAATGTACAATGGAAATCGGTTACCTGCTGATTAGGTCGGGTATACAGCAAGCTTTGGAGGTTGAGAAGGATTCCACTGGATTGTTCCAGCTTTGTATAACATTTGAAACTAATGCTAGCTTGCTAACTAGGGAAAGTCTTCCAAAAGAAATATGTTTAACTGCATTTGGCAGGACAGTAGTAGATACTAACCTCTAGTGGAAGAATGTAGAGAGTGGAGAAAAATGAGAGTTTAGTGCAACTCAAATGAGGTATAGCACTGGCTTTCCTATTAATATGCTGCCTCGCCGACAGGGAAAAAGCATCTCTTGGTCAGAGTATTGTTCATTTTTGTTGTCATGCATTTATTGGGCTTTCTGCTGAAGATGCTAAAGAGTGACAGTCATCAACTGTATTGGCATTCTTGGGTGCAAATAGTCGTCATCTTTTTATTTTACTTTTTTATGCAGGGCTTTGTTTACGAATAAAACTTCAGAGATGTTTGCCTTTTAAACACAAGGTAAAGAATTTTTCTATTATTCTCTTATCAGACCATGCACAAGTGTGTCAAATAACAGTTTTTGGTTTTTAGCTTTTTGTGTAAAAATACCCCTTGGGATTGCTTACTTATCTTTGACCATAATTTAGAAGCTATGTCTTTCTGAATATTGCATATGTATATTTCCTGGACCATGACAGCTACAACATGCCAACCCTATCAAATATTGCGCAGTCACAGCATATGAAGGAAGTTTGTAGTAACAGTGACTTTGGCAAATGCTTTGAGAAAAAGGGAGTTCAGAAAAACTGCTTTCGAAAGACACAACACTTAGTGCTCTAAGTTTCAGAAGTCTGGCAATAAGGAGAACCTGATCACCATCAGTTTTCTGAAAACAAATGACAACCAATGAACGATGAAAGACAGGACACTTTAACTATGACTATTTTAAGTTCTGTTGAAGCCTTACCAGAAAGAACTGTGGGCCATTAGGATGCTTCAGAGCACCCAGGCATTGCGACTGTCATTGATGTTTAACTACTTACTGGATTTTTCAGTCCCTGAGAAACACTCTGGGCAACCACAGTTCAACCTGATTGAGGAAGCAAGCTGACTTGAGGGCAAGATAGCTAATATGCAATCTGCCATCTTTTTAAATGTTTGACTTTAGACAGAACTTACACTGCCAGTGGAGTCTGCGGTGTAAAGGTAATCTGTAAAACAAACTGAAATAGACGGTTAGTGGTTTTGCTAGAAGAGCATAGAAAAACTGCAGAGATTGCTTATGGAACCAGGTATGGAAATGAGATTTGTTTTCCTAAACTGAAGAATTGCTATATCCAGTAGTCACCCTAATCCTGAATACCATTTCTGCTCTAGCTACTTTACTGGAAGGCTTAAGAAATCACGTAGTAGGGAATTTTTGAGACAAACCATCCCTAGGAAAAGTTTCTTTTAACCTCATTAGTTAAAAGTTGACTTTGACCTTCCAAAACTCACTTGTATTTACAGTCAAAGTAATTTCAGGGTTCGGATTTCTAAGAGTTTTCACTCCCAAAGGACATGCATGTAACAAAATAACTAATGAGCATTTGCCCTCTCCTCTTAAAAACATGGTAGAGATATGATGCAGACTGTGATGAAACTGGGTATGTCTACGTCTCTCTGTACGGCGATGTTGTTACTGTGCTGTACTTTAGTACCTCTTTTTGGAAGTACTAAAACACGCAGCAGTAACAGCCTGTACTGCACTGTATGGGTGGCGCATGCTTAAATTTTCCCTAATACATCACCGTAGCAGCGCACTATGAGTGGGGAGTGCACCACTATGGCAACATAGCTAGCGATCACGTGTAGACCCATGTCATCTACACCCGTAGTGAGCTGTACAGAGACATAGCGCATCACTGCATCCCCCTAGAGCGACGTGTAGATGCACCCACTGAATAGCCAAGGGAACTCAACTGCAGAAAGGGGAATGCAGTGTTGAGATCACTTAGTTAAAAATACACCTGTTTCTTGGGTCTCCTCAGGTTTAGGATGAGTTAACTAGTACTGATCTATTAATTATTTGGTACTGAAGAAGTTGAATTATATTAGTAGTTAAACTGTTGTAAAGGATATCCTAAAGCAGTGTGTGTTATGCGGCAAATATATAGCATTGTTGATTCATAACAAATCACTTTTATTACACTGCTGAAATGAAATCTAATTAGGATCTGTGGTAATTTAATTACATTTGTAGTTCAGTCTTTTAATTTTACAGCAAAAACAGTGTTACAGTAAAGTCACTACAGTAATTTAGCCTTTGCAGGGAGTTGGGGTTCAATCTATGTATATCATTCATATGCTGTATGAGAATAGCCTTTAGTTGAGAGCTGTTACCTTGATGCCAAGGCTAGCAGTTATGAAATTGTAAGGTGCTGTTGTGACAGGATCTGTCCTAGTGTTATACATTTTGACTCGGATGCTTTAGCTCTTCAGGCTTTTAAAAGATGAAGCTTTGTTAGCTTGTAGGAGCTCCTCCTAGAAGGTTTTTTCTCAGACGTGTTTAATCTGTTTATGAAAGTAACCGTTGCAATGTCTCTTGGGCCACCGTCTCCTGCATTGAGGTCCTGTGGGCTGGCTGGAAAGATAGTGCTAGCTCTTTGCCAAATTTTCAGCCGTTTCACTGCATTACTTGTCTATGTGAACAACTGATAAAGTTATCGCTGTGATGCTTCGTTACTCATGGAAGGAACACTGGCCTGTGCAATTGCAAGATGGAGGGGAGATGTCTGTAAGGTGGTGAAGATGTCATCCAGAGTATGAAAAAGTCTAGCACAACTATTGTAGATAGTGAAATAGCGTCGTTGACACACACACTGCTCAAGTAAGTGTTCTTTGGACAAGATGTCTATCATTTAGCAGTGCAGGAGTATGACTATTCATATTTGCTACTAACGTTATTTATCTCTTACTTAGTTGGAAATCTACATATCGGAAGGTACGCATTCCACTGAGGAAGACAGTAAGTGAATCTTGTAAATTAAATGAATGTAGCTTCTGATTCTGTGGTTGGGAGGGTTGAGGACAGAGGGGAGGTGGAGAGTGCAGTGGCAAAACTGTATGATAAAACATGCTGTTTTAAGAAACCTTGGAAGTTGGTTCAGCTTGTTCACGTTGCACATAGATATATCTTTGAGGCATACTTTTAAGGGGAAAATAAATAACATGCTGCAGATATGCCAGTGAATAAACTTCTGGAGTTTACTGTGGGTTTTTGATCTTGCAATTTTTTAACATCCACTGAGATAAATTTAGGGCTGTGCGAAACCGGTGTGTTTCAATTCGGTTTCAGATTCGGCTGTTTTGGAGGACAGTGATTTGTTTTGGTGCTTCAGATCACTATCCTGTTTTGTTTCAGTGAAATCTGTTTCAGAGATTCGGCTCCGCCAAATCTGTTTTGAACGGGCTGCAAGGGAAGCTTCGTACAGCCCTACCCAGCTGGGTGGGGCTTGGGGCCAGGGGTTGCAGGGCCCCAGCAGGGAGCAGGATGGCGCCGAGAGTAGCTCACCCAGGGAAGGGCCACTGCCCTCCATGCAGGCAAGGAGACCCCCGCGCAGATCTCTGATCCTTTTCACGACACGGGGCTGCACAGGGCAGGTGGCAGTGGTAAGGATACCCCAGGGCGGATCTCTGCTTCCTGTGGAACCAGGTCACGCAGCAGGGATTCCCCAGCCCCAGGTTCGATTCTCCAACTCTCTGATCATTCCCCCAACTCTTTCTGGGGGGCGTGGGCCCCTGGATCCACGGGCCGGGTTTCAGCAGGCTGCTGCTGCAGGCTGGGGCCAGTGGCAGCACCAGTCTTTTTGGCACAAGAGGCTGCCGCCAGCCCCAGCCTGCAGCGGCAACCTGCTGAAACCGCGTGAACAGATTGGGGGCTTGCACCCCACTCCTGGGGAAGAGCTGGGGCAATGATCAGAGAGCTGGGGAATCGAACCGGGACTAGATGTCAATATCAGAGCAGTCCTTCCCCCCAACCTCTTTCCCCTCCCTCTTCTTAGTTTTTGTTTCCCTGCAAGCCTGGCTCTGAAATTCTCTGAAACGTTTTGGAGCCTTCTGATTTGTTTCAGAGTCTTCTGTTTCGATTTGGACTCGGTGTTTCGGGTGCCGAAATGGCCCAAAACACCTCCAAAATGAAATGGCTGCTGAAATTTCACACAACCCTAATAAATATTTCTTAGCATTTTTTTTTTTAAGAATCTACAGAACCTTGATACTCTCTGTTGCATGTTCAGTTTAAAAACTTCTATCTCTGTTTTGAGAGAGATGTTTTAAATAAAAAGCCAATAAAGACTTTATCCATGCCATGTTTCAAATGTTTGTTCTTTTTTCATTTTTTCCCTAAAGTATGTCTAGAATTTTTTTTGGCCAGGGAAAATTTGTGTTTTGTCCTCCCCCCTGCTCCCAGGCTCTTTTTTTTTCTTAATCATATGACTAGAAACTGTAGTAGGATACATTCAAACTATACAAATGCACTGTTTTAAGTAAGTGAAAGCGATTGATCATGGGAACAACTTATCTAGGGGTGTGGTGGCTGTTCTCTCACTTTTAATCTGGTCGGGGGAGTGGATGTCTTTCTAAAAATTATCAGCTCTATCTTAACCAGAAATCATGGGCTTGTTGATGGAATTAGTTGGTGACAGTCTGTGGTCAGTGTTTTGCAAAAAGTCAGACTAGGACCCTACTGGCTTGAACTGCAAAAGTTCAGGGAAACTTGGATTGGTAAAATGCCTGACTTGACTTTTCATCTGGTATTTTTGCAGTCAACAAGCAAATAAATGATAAGGAGAGAGTAGCAGCTGCAATGGAGAATCCAAACTTGCGTGAAATTGTGGAGCAGTGTGTCACAGAACCTGATTAGCGGCTGCAGAAACCACAGAGCTATGATTGTTTTGATACATTTGTTTTAATATCTTTGTAAAACCTTAAGGCCTTGTGCTTAATACTTGAGTTCTTTATATCTGCTGCATGTTTTTTTTAAGGGAAATCATTTATATAACAGATTTAAATTATAAGGAGGTAAGTTGCAGGATATAAAATTAAATGAAGTGTGTAATTTTAAGAATTTGTAATATTTGGTGTTAACAGAGAAATATTTTATTGAGTTATTAAGAGCCAGCTGTGTTGCCTTCTGATGCACATCGTGATATAAAACCAATTTTGCAGGTTAAGTTTCCACTCTGTTCAAGTGGAACATTTCAATCACTACGCTGTAAAAACCCATAAATAAATATAGATTCTTATAATGAAAAGCCAGTTCTTGTTTTGAATCTTCTTGCTCTAATCTCACAAATTTCTCTTGCTATATTAAACAGAGAAGTAAATGTCTTCATGTGTCTTCACATATCATGTATTTCCACACTGTGAGTCATAGAAGTTGAAAGACACGTAAAACTTTATTTGATATTTGAAATTTCAAAATATTGTTGATTATTCAACAAATTGAAAATATTGTTGATTATACAACCTCAGTGCTGAAGTTTTTTGTGCCCTTAAAAATGGAGAGCTCCTAGATTTCAAATACTTTTTAACCAGAAATCTTGTGCAAAAAAGCACTTCCTGTGCTGCTGTTTTTGATACCTAAATAATGAAATGATTGAGAATGAACAGGCAGAAAGTAGAATGGCACGTTCTTTTTTTTTCTTGATGAAAGCTACTTGCAGTATGCTGACTTAAAATCTGTTCAAGTACAGTCATGGAGCCAGGAACATACTGCTAATCCTTTAATGCAATAGAAATTCTATAGGTTCACTTAGGACCAGTTTTCATAACTGACAAAATGGAAAACCTAGCCAATTACGGTCGGATCTGATAAGTTAAACTTTTAATTTAATGAACATGTGACCCAATTTTCTAGTATTCTGTCAAAGCTTCATTTTCTGAGTCTCTCTAGACATTTGGTGCTTGAGATTAGCCATAGCATATAAGAGTGCAGATTAGAAAAAAATCCCTTGGGCTAAAAGTACAGCATATTGGGAAGGAATACACAGGAAACCAGTGCAGAAAAGAGGTAGCTAAAGATTTTGTGCACTTTTAGTTCTTCAGCCTTGTTTTAAGTTCTGAGTGCATCAATCAGCTGGTTCTGCAGAAGCCAATACAGGGTATAGATAGATGTGACAAATGTAGCAATACAAGATGTATAGTGTTACCTCTGCTGGATTATAGTAATACAAATGTAGCAAAACGTGCAAATTCAACCCTGCTCCTTTCCAGGTCAAAGTTAGGGTGTTTTTAGCCAACTTGCATTGCTGCAGCATCATGCAGATGGAAATTACAGCTGATGCACGCTTCAAAGCAGCAGCTGCTCCCCTCCTTTCTAAAGTACCTCAAACCTGTCTGTTCGTACTCACCATATATCTGTTTTTTTTGGACAAAATGACAGTATCTCAGTTCAAAAAAGCTAGATCTTTTCCAATTTATGTAGTCTTTTGATAGGTCTTGGAAAACCCCACCAAATGATTATGACTGATCTCTTGGAAATACTATGTGCCTTATGTTTGTTCAAATCCTTCGCAGCTTGCAAACTTTGTTCCTGTAGCTGGTGTGTTTTCTTTTTTTAAACATCGGTTTTGTATTGTTAGGTTCTCTTTTAGAACTACTTTGGAGGTATTTATACCATGCTAAATGCTATAGTGTTTGAGAGTAATTTTGCAGGTTTTAACAAACAAATCTATTTGTGTACCTGGGATTACTGCAGAAATATCTGATGTTCAAGTAACTTAGTTTTTCATATTTATTTTTAGATGGAACTGAGTTTTTTGTTTTCTAGTTACCTGTTGGAGGCCAGAAGCAATCGGAGATGGTCTGTGTGGTTAATAGGGGTGTGCAAAGCGGGCCCTATTCGATTTGGATTCGGCCTGGATCAGGGACAGTGATTCAGTTTGTTGATTTGGATCACTGTCTCTGATTTGATTTGGCTGAATCCAAATCTGAAGATTAGATGCTGATTCTGAGAATCAGCAATTCGGAAACCGGCACAATTTTAAAAGTTTTTTCTACATACCTTGAGGTAGCAGGCACAGCTTGTGAGCGCTGCAATGCTGGGGCGCATGGAGCATCCCACAGGAGTGTGGGGGGGCACCCTCTATGTGCTTGGCAGCGAACCCAGAAGTGGACTGGAAGTATTTCCAGTTCTCTTCTGGGTCTGCCAGGGAGCATGCTGGGGTGTCCTCCCCGCACCCCTGAGCTCAGCGGTTGGCTGCAGGGGGACCCCGGGTGCCCCTCCAGACCCAGGAGGCACCAAGCCAGGGGGGCTTCCTTCCCTGGCAAACCTGGAAGTGGACTGGAAGTGCTTCTGGTCCACTTCTAGGTCTGCTGCTGAGCACGCTGGGGAGCCCCCCACGCTTCTGTAGGGTGCTCCATCCGCCCCAGCATCGCAGCACTCATGAGCTGCCTGGTACCTAGAGGTCTGTAGAAAAAACGTTTTAAGCTGTCTCTATTTCCGAATCAATTCAGAGGGTTCTGAGTCGATTCAGAGAGATTAAAGCGTCCTCTGTTTAGATTTGGATTTGACGATTCGGCCACCGAATCAGGTCAGATCTCCACCAAATTGAATCGGGGACCGAAGCTTCACACAGCCCTAGTGGTTAAAAGCATCCTCCTTCTTGCTTTCTCTAAAAAGCTAATATACAGTCAATTAATATTTTAACATTTGATATACTCTATGCTGTTTCCTTCTTCTCAGAAATGGTGCAATATATGTTTAAGATGGCTTTTGTAACTCCTCTGAGCAGTATCTAGACATTAGATTTGTTAACTAGAGCCCCTGTAAAATTATTACAAGGGAATTGGAAAACTTCACAAATTCTGATGCTTTCAAGCCTGTTTCTCAATATGTGTTTGAGTTGAAATACGTGATATGCATAGAAAATACCTTTCAAATCACTACTTCAAACATGAGTCCTCACTGCATGTCTGCTAGTTATGTCCGGAGCCAGTTGGGTACCTTGGCCTGAAGTGCAATATGAAAGGAGCAATTAGTGACAGACAGGGGAGACGAGGCTGAGCTAGTCAATGAGATTTTTGCCATGTTGTTCCTGACCAGTGGTCAAGATAAATCTCCTAATGGGTTCTTAGATGGGCATCAGAGGGACACCAACCTACCAACTGTCGACGCTGACTTGGTGCAGAGTCACTTGGAAGGACTGGATGCATTCAAGTCGGCAAGCCCGGGTGAGCTGCATCCGAGGGTACTGAAGGAGTTGGCCAATGTCATAGCAGAACCACTGGCATGGCTGTTTGAGCACTCGTGGTGCTCGGGTCAGGTCCCAGAGGACTGGAAAAGGGCCAGTGTGGTTCCTATTTTCAAGAAGGGGAGGAAGGAGGATCTGAGTAATTATAGGCCAGTCAGTCTCACCTCCATCCTTGGAAAGGTCTTTGAAAAGATTCTGAAGGATCATATTTGTGGGAGTCCAGCAGGAAAAATAATGCAGCAGGGAAACCAGCATGGATTCGTAGCAGGTAGATCATGCCTGACCAATCTGGTTTCATTTTATGACAGGGTCACAAAACACTTAGACACAGGAGTAGAGGTGGATGTTGTTTTCTTGGACTTTAGCAAGGCCTTCGGTATAGTATCTCATCCCAGTCTCATAAATAAATTAAGAGGCTGTGACAGATGTTTATACGGTCCGGTGGGTGGCAAATTGGCTTGAGGGTCACACCCAGAGAGCAGTAGTAGACATGTCGGTATTGACCTGGAAGGATGTAGGTAGTGAGGTCCTGCAGGACTTGGTCCTTGGACCTGTACTCTTCAATATCTTCATCAGTGACTTGGATGTGGGTGTGAAGTGCACTCTGTCCAAGTTTGCGGATGATACTGAATTGTGGGGTGAAGTGCATACACCAAAGGGTAGGGAACGATTGCAGGTGGACCTGGACAGGTTGGAAAAGTGGGCAGTACGACAAAGACAAGTGCAGAGTGCTGCACCTACAGTGCAAAAATATCCAGTGCAACTACTGGCGGGGAATGACCCTCCCAGCAGCACAGAAGCGGAAAGGGTCTCGGAGTCATCGTGGACTCCAAGATGAGCATGAGTCGTCAGCTTGACAAAGTCGTCAGCAAAGCTAACTGCACTTTATTATGCATCAGCAGATGCACGACAAATAGATCCAAAGAGGTGATACTTCCCCTCGATGCAGCATTGGTCAGACCACAGTTGGAGTACTGTGTCCAGTTTTGTGCACCGCACTTCAAGAAGGATGTTGATAGACTCGAGAAGGTCCAGAGGAGGGCCGCTCATATGGTCAGGGGCTTACAGGACAAGCCCTGTGAGGAGAGACTGAGGGACCTGGACCTCTTCAGCCTCCGCAAGAGAAGGCTGAGAGGTGATTTTTGTGGCTGGCCACAAATTCATTAGGGGGACGCAGCCAGGGATCAGAGATGCACTGTTCACCAGGAGTATGGGGCGGCAGCCAGGCTGGACCAGCTCTGGGTAGGAGCCGCCTCTGTGGCCCAGTGGGTGGGACCTGGATTTCTTCATGGTAAGGGTGGCCAAAATTTGGAATAGGCTTCCAGGGGAGGTGGTGCTCTCCCCTATCTTGGGGGTCTTTAAGAGAAGGCTGGATAGGCATCTAGCTGGGGTCATCTGACCCCAGTGCTCTTTCCTGCCTAGACAGGGGGTCGGACTCGATGATCTGTTGAGGTCCCTTCCGACCCTAGCATCTGTGAATCTATGAATAAAATTGGCTATGCAGATGCCTAGGATAAAGTTGAAACAAGTTACTTAAAGGCCTTCTACGGGGAAGCTGGCAACAGAGCAGCTTTGAACCTTGGGTTAGGTGTTCTGCACTTAAGTGGTATTCTTGTCCTCTTGTTCACACTGTAAGTAGAGCATTTTGGGTGATGGCTGTAATGGTGGATGTACTAGAATGCTGCAGTCAGAAACTTCCTTGGTGGCTTGGTGTTATGGTTGTGGGATGCTGAAATTGGAAGATTATGGGATAGTTGGGCGGGATGGAATATGAGAATCATAAGCTACTAAAGCAACTGTCAATGACACAGGAGGAAGAGGAGCCTTTTGAGGAGAGAAACAGAATAGAAGCAGGGCAGCGTGCATGCGAGAACAGCAACATCGGGCACCTGAGAACTGAAGGAATGAATTTAAGATGGCGTAAGAGACTGAAAAGTCCTGCCTTTGCTTCCTTGCTACGTGGAGTACATAACGGTTTAGAATTGCTGCCTTTGGGCTCTTTCTGGAACTAGCTTTGTTTCTCCCTTTGTGAGAGAACTCTTCCCTGTGGGGCATGTTCT